AAGTCACGAGAGTGTTGGGTACCGAGTCGAGAAGTCACGTGAGTGTTGGGTACCGCGCCGAGCACGCCTCGGTCCATTGGGTAAAGACCTCTGGACCGAGAACCGTGCTATGAGCTAAGGGCTATCTAAACCCCTCCATCCTCCTCATCTTTTCAATCTCCCGACAAGGTATTCATCTCTTTACTCTGCTTTTTGTTGTGCTTTTTTTTATGGCTAGCCTTAATTTCGAATGGACCTCCTCAGATGATGGGTCATCGTTTCACCCTTTGTCAGAATCTCAGTCCTATCGTCTGTTTTGGATGGATAACTCCACTCTTACTGCGAGGGACCTGCGTCGCTTGCGATCGAAATACCGTATCCCGGATTCGGTTAGCCTTCGTCTTCCGAATCCAGGAGAGAGTATTGATGGTTCTTTTCCCGGTGAAGTAGTATTTTATGTCGCGATGTTCCAATTTGGAGTCCGCCTACCGTTGCCTCTTTTTCTTCAAAACGTTTTAGCTTTTAATAAAGTAGCTCCTTCCCAAATCGTCCCGAATTGGTGGTCTATTTTGTGGTCGTACCTAGGGTGCGAGCAGCCTTTAACCGCCGCGAACTTTATGTCACTTTATTACCTCAAACACAGTCCCAAGGAAAACTTTCATTTTTATGTTAGCTTCTGGAACCAAGTTCTTGTTATGGCTCCCTCCTTAGTGAAGCATTGGAAGAACGAATGATTCTTTGTTGGCGGTGACTGGCTAGTCCGTGACGAGAGAGGGTTGTATTTTCCCGTCCCGACCGAGTGTAGGGAATTGGGTAAGTAGCTTCTGAGCTCCATCGGGACTTTCGTAGATATCAATTCTGATATTCCTTTTTTTGTTGGCAGTTTCCCGCAATTGTGAGCTTACCGTCGAGGCGTCCACTTTCTATCATACCGTTATCCAATTACCGGATATCGAGCGTTGGGGCCCAGATTTGGTTACAGAGCAAAACTTAGTAGATTTTGGCTTGGCTCTCCCATGTAACCCTCCAGGTCTTTGTCGAAATCCTCTCTTCACTTTGCATGAACGTCGCTTTTTACCTCTATCTTTATTTGTAGAAATGTCGAGACGGAGTGCTTCCTTGAATGAAAGAGAACGTCGTTGAAATGCCCAAGGTTTGGAGGCCAGCTCTAGTCGGGCTTCGGATATCGAAGTGACTGATTTGACCGAGGAGGGGCTCCCTTCACAACATGCTCGATCTTCCATGCCTCCGACAGCTCCGAGGCGTTCCGCCCGACTTCATGGGACGTCTATCCCGTCCTCCCCTCTAGGTCATCCAGGGAGCTTCTCTCAAGCTTCAATCTTCCCTTTCTCTGGCCCATATAATGTTGATGCTGATGGGACAGCTTACTTGGAAAGAGCATTTAGTCTTTGGCAGGGCCTCGGCGACTCATCAAGCGGGTCGGATTTTGGCCTGTCAAATCCTCAGCACAGTATCAGTACGTGCCTTATTGATCTCCACCAGGTGAGTGCTTTGTAGCTTCAAGTATTTGTCATAGCATCTTCTCCTAATGTCGAATTCTGTCCTTGGCAGATTTTCAATCGTCTGGTGATATTCTCGGGTCGGGTTGCTGATGAAATTAACCACCTCCGCTGTCACTATGCCCCTCGGGAGGAGCTGGAACAGGCCATTTCTTCCTTGAATCAGGCCAACAGCCTTCTGGAGTGTACCCAACGTGAGTTGGAAACGAAGAAGAGAAAATCTCGAGACGAGCTGGCTAACCTGCAGAGGAGACTTGACAAGGCCAACGCTCGGCTCTCTAACTCTGAATTCTTGGCCAGAGAATTCAAGAAAACTCAGGAGTACGTCGACCTGCAAAACTCTGCCATGGAATGCGGTGTTTCCTGGTCTCTTCGCCAAGTTTCTACTCAGCACCCTGACATTGACTTTTCCTTCCTCCCGGAGCGTTTTGAATCCTAGCGTGACGCTCCTGATGACATGGATGATGACGAAGACGAGTAATAGGGTAGCTTGAGTGAGTTGCTTTACTGTGTTTAGCGTTCGGTTGACCTTTATGTGCTTTGTCACTACGTTGCTTGTATTTCTTTTTGGAATTATCAATTAACCCTCTTACGAATCACTTATTGGCTTACGGCTCTAACTCTGATGGAGTTTTGTTGCTTTCATTTCCAAAGGTTTCTAACCCGTTGGCCATAGCCAATGGTTTTATACCCGCTGTCGTCTTTGGCTTTTTACTCCATCTCATGTTTTAATGGTGCTAGATCAATCGACCCGCTTCTGGTTTGGCCGTGTTGAGATTGTTTAATTGTTCTTTCCAAATTTGTCGATTAAAGTAGATTCGTGCCCCATTGCACGTGGTCGGCGTCGAGTGGTGGTCGGACCCGAGCCCTGCTCAGTCGAAAATAAGACCTATTGATAAAAATAAGCTACCAAATGGTTATCTCATAGTTCAAAATTGCCGATTAATGTAGATTTGTGCCCGTTCGCACTTGGTCAGTGTCGAGCAGTGGTCGGCCCTGAGCGCTGCTCAGCCTGTTCTGCTAGAGCTGGTTTTACCATCGTCGAGTAGAATTGGATTTATCAAGCTTACGTCGTCAAGTAGTCGGTACCTATTGCCCCCTACTCTCAAGGTAGCGTATTGTCGATATCTCTTTAGAGTACGCTTGTAGACGAGGCAAGGTGTTTTATCAAAGTCGCTTGACATCTCGTTTTGGATTTAGAAGACATAGTTGATAGAGAACCAAACAAATGGATACTTTATTGAATAAAAGAAACAATAATCAGAAATATTGCTAAAAGTAGAGAAACAAAAACAACCACACTTGGAGGAAAAAAGGAAAGATCAACAGCCCCCTTAGTAAAAGCCCTGTCGTTGCCCCTCATTGAGGTATAGTAGCATTCCCGCAACACTCGTTGCTCTCATTTAATCTCTCCTACTCCACCCGGTGTTGGGAACTTCATGGACTGGTGGTATGTGGATGGTATCGCTTTGAGCATATGCATTGTCGGTCTTCCCAATATTGCGCTGTAGGAGGATGTGTAGTCGACGACCAAAAAGTCCACCATCTTGGTGCACTTTTCGGCCCACTTCCAAATATTACAGGCAACTCTATCCTCCCTTCGGGAAGACCCGTTCCCCTCCAAATCCTACCAACGGTGCTAGGCTGCTCTTAAGCACCTTTTCTCCTAAATCCATGGCTTTGTAGGCTGTCCATGAGATGATATCTGCCGAGCTGCCCCCATCCACCAAAATTCGATGTACTTTCWCATTTGCTATCTTCAAAGTGATAACCAGTGCATCGTTATGAGGATGGAGGAGGTGGGTCGCCTCGTCCTCTGAAAACTCGATCGCCACTGACTGGTTCATAATATACGCATGGTAGACCTCATTTTGTCCGAGGCTCGCCTTAGCTTCTCGCACATCTGCCTTTCTTTTTCTCCCGGATTCTCTCTCTATTGGGCCTCCCATTATAGTTCGAATCTCTCGAGCAGGAGACTTGTCGTTTTCGCTGTTTTGTGTCGCTTTAGAGTCCTCTACATACTCTTTGAGATAGCCCCTTCGGAATAGCCCTTCCACCTCTTCCTTGAGATCAAAACAATCCTGAGTTGCATGGCCGTGATCCCGGTGGAAAAGGCAATATCGGCCTTTATTTAGTTTAGTTGACGGGTCCTTCATCCTCTACGGCCACTTAAGCAATCTTTGGTCTTTGATCTCCATCAGCACTTGCTCTAGTGGAACGGTGGTCGGGGTATACTTTTCAAATTTTCGGGGTGGATCTTTCTGACTACTCCGATCCCTCTTCTCCCATCTCTACCCCTGTGGTTTATCTCCCGACCTCTCCCTCTTTTGGTCGGTTCGCTTTCCGTCTGGCTCCMTTTTTTAGTAAAAGAACTCACCAGCGCTCATGTACCTTTGAGCTCAGCTCAGCGCCTCTGAAAAGGTACTCGGTGTCTTCTTTCCTAACGAAAATGACAAATGCTCATCCCTGACGCCGGACATGAAGGCCAGTAGAGATACGGCGTCTGTAAGGCCTTCTACCTACAGCTTTTCCTCATTGAACCGAGCTACATAGTCGTGTAGACTCTCTGTCGTCCTCTGTTTAATAGTTAAAAGATAAGCCAYAGGTCGGCTCCAACACTGCCCCCCTACAAACTGGGTCACGAATGCTCTGGCCAGGCTCTTGAAACGAGATTGACCCTCGTTTTAATTATTGGAACCATATTCTTGCTAACTCGTTTAATGTAGTCGAGAACACCCGGCACCTGACCGCCTCTGACACCCCATAGATATCCATCCATTCCCGATAAGCATCTAGATGGTCCACTGGGTCGGTCGTCCCGTCGAATTGTTTCACCGTGGGTAGCTTGAATTTTGGAGGNAATCTCTCCTACTCCACCCGGTGTTGGGAACTTCATGGACTGGTGGTATGTGGATGGTATCGCTTTGAGCATATGCATTGTCGGTCTTCCCAATATTGCGCTGTAGGAGGATGTGTAGTCGACGACCAAAAAGTCCACCATCTTGGTGCACTTTTCGGCCCACTTCCAAATATTACAGGCAACTCTATCCTCCCTTCGGGAAGACCCGTTCCCCTCCAAATCCTACCAACGGTGCTAGGCTGCTCTTAAGCACCTTTTCTCCTAAATCCATGGCTTTGTAGGCTGTCCATGAGATGATATCTGCCGAGCTGCCCCCATCCACCAAAATTCGATGTACTTTCWCATTTGCTATCTTCAAAGTGATAACCAGTGCATCGTTATGAGGATGGAGGAGGTGGGTCGCCTCGTCCTCTGAAAACTCGATCGCCACTGACTGGTTCATAATATACGCATGGTAGACCTCATTTTGTCCGAGGCTCGCCTTAGCTTCTCGCACATCTGCCTTTCTTTTTCTCCCGGATTCTCTCTCTATTGGGCCTCCCATTATAGTTCGAATCTCTCGAGCAGGAGACTTGTCGTTTTCGCTGTTTTGTGTCGCTTTAGAGTCCTCTACATACTCTTTGAGATAGCCCCTTCGGAATAGCCCTTCCACCTCTTCCTTGAGATCAAAACAATCCTGAGTTGCATGGCCGTGATCCCGGTGGAAAAGGCAATATCGGCCTTTAYTTAGTTTAGTTGACGGGTCCTTCATCCTCTACGGCCACTTAAGCAATCTTTGGTCTTTGATCTCCATCAGCACTTGCTCTAGTGGAACGGTGGTCGGGGTATACTTTTCAAATTTTCGGGGTGGATCTTTCTGACTACTCCGATCCCTCTTCTCCCATCTCTACCCCTGTGGTTTATCTCCCGACCTCTCCCTCTTTTGGTCGGTTCGCTTTCCGTCTGGCTCCMTTTTTTAGTAAAAGAACTCACCAGCGCTCATGTACCTTTGAGCTCAGCTCAGCGCCTCTGAAAAGGTACTCGGTGTCTTCTTTCCTAACGAAAATGACAAATGCTCATCCCTGACGCCGGACATGAAGGCCAGTAGAGATACGGCGTCTGTAAGGCCTTCTACCTACAGCTTTTCCTCATTGAACCGAGCTACATAGTCGTGTAGACTCTCTGTCGTCCTCTGTTTAATAGTTAAAAGATAAGCCACAGGTCGGCTCCAACACTGCCCCCCTACAAACTGGGTCACGAATGCTCTGGCCAGGCTCTTGAAACGAGATTGACCCTCGTTTTAATTATTGGAACCATATTCTTGCTAACYCGTTTAATGTAGTCGAGAACACCCGGCACCTGACCGCCTCTGACACCCCATAGATATCCATCCATTCCCGATAAGCATCTAGATGGTCCACTGGGTCGGTCGTCCCGTCGAATTGTTTCACCGTGGGTAGCTTGAATTTTGGAGGGACCTTCTCTTTCATGATCTCCTCCGTGAATGGTGAGTCGGCTTGATCCAGTAGTTCTTCAAGGTCAAATCCCTTCTCCTTTTGGTTCTGTCGCTTCTCTGAAGACTCTGGCTGATCTGTCGGTTTGCCTTTGTCGAGGCCTATCGGCTCAGAGTTTCGGTTATCCTGGTTGCTCTTGCCCCCGTTTGGTTCTGGGATTTATGTTGCTTTTTTATCTTCGTGGAGTCGAAAATCCGGGTTCGTCGCCTGGTATTTCCACCTATCCACAACTTGCTCCCTGTACTGTTTGTTGATTCCTCGATCTCGCTTTGCGCTGTGCCCTTCCTTTTTCTCGGGTCTCTGACAAGGGGTACCTCGTCGGGCTCTTGTTGCAGCATGCCCTCTACCTTGTCTTCCAAGACCGCAAACTGCTTTTGGAGTGGCTCAAGGGTCGTTATTGCATGCGCCTCAGGCAACCCCTCCTGACGTTCCGGGTTTGACTGGCTGGTCCCATCCTCGGATCCTCCAACCTGGGGGTCGTCCAAGTTCAGCCTCCTTTTGGTAGAGTAGTTATCATCAGAGCGTCGTGGACTCCTTTCTGGCGTCATGTTGCTCAATTGGATGCTTTAAATCGTCCCCACAGACGACGCCAATTGTTGATGCGTGGATTTCGGTCCTCGATTCTCCTCCTCGCACACACCAAACTTGATAATTCGAGACTAATACCTGCAAAACCAAATCGAGCTAAACCGGTGTGACTCTAGTCACACGGGCTCCGATGCCTAAGTTAGCAAGAGAATAATGTGAATGTGGTCAACTTTTAGATCCTCTTACCTCTAGGGCTATATCGCTACTTATAGCCGTGAAATAGTTCCAGAACTTTCTGTAGCTAACCCTAATTCATAGTTGCAGGGCCTAGGCGAAATCGTTGATCGAAGATGGGGACTTGTTGGCCAGGCCGTGGGCCGAGCACGGGTCGGGACCAAGCCCTTCTTGGCCCAGTGGGCTCCCCTCCGATCGTGACCTGTAGCTTAACTATCGATTCTCGTTGCATAACAATATATATATAAAGTGAAAATATAAGTTTACTATGGATCAAATTTGGTCGGTCCTTTTAAACTTTTTCAACTCTACCTTTTGATGAATTTTATTATTCCTCCCTCCCAGTAATAGATCAGACTTACACTGATTTGAGCGTCAAACCTCCTTCTCTAGATTCGTTTCAGTAATATATTACCCTTTTCTTTTTCTTTGAACAAGAATATTATTACTTCGAAGAATGGGAATCAAGGAAAGGCCAATGATTGTTCTTTTTTTTGTGTTTTTTTTTTGTTTTTTTTTGAAAATCAGCCGATGATTGTTATTAAAGCTTAGAAATTGAATTAATTGATAGAGAGTAGASAACGATTCGGGAATCACTTCTCATTTCTCTCGTGCAACTTCAATTTTAATAATCASTTTATAACTTTTATCATTTTTCTCTCATCTATTAATAAGGTCGATAACKTTTTAATTAAAATATTTTTATTATTTCTTTGTTTATTTATATTACTAATAATCTTTTTCTAATAAAAATTTATCTTTTATTAGTCGAGATGATTTTATTGTAAAATATTACAAATTTCTATTTAATTTACTTTGTTATTGTTAATTAATTTCAATAAAATTGTAAAAATAGACTTCATTATTATTCAATATTAGAACAACGATGTTTTTCTAATAAAAATTATTGTAATCTTTTTTAGTTAATGTAATTTTATTTTTTTATTATTTGTTAATATTAAATAAATTGTAAAAATAAAAAATGATTTACTTTCAATAATCAAATTAAAATGTATTATTATTTTAATTAAAAATAATATTATCATATTGTTCTATAAATAAGAAAGGAGACATTATAATAATTATTATATATCTAATTCCAATTCCGATAAACAACATCGAGTAAATAACACTTTTATTCAGATTGATTTTCATTCTKATTCCTAGTAAATAAACGCAACCTAAATGTAATACCAATTGCTTCATTCTACTTTTATGGAAATCCACACTTTTTCAGAAATGGAAATCCACAATTTTTCAGAAGTGGAAATTAAGATTTTTTACGATCCAGTTCAATGTCAATATGATCTAAGCATATATCTCAGTGTATAAGACACCTATTATTATCGACCAAGTTGAAAGTTCAATCAGTTCAATCTCCTGCCCAACCGAACTTAAAAATAAAATCCAAAATTTATGTGTCACCCATTCAATAGGACATGGACAACAACGAAACAAACATTTAAAAAAGAAAAAAAAAATCAATTACTTTAACCCATAATCATCAGCTTGAGGTTCAAGAAAATAAGGATGCACCACATTTCATCTACTTCTTCTTCAGCCTATTCTCATCTACATTCCCTCTCCCTATTTTGCCATCTACATTTTCTTCTCCCTATTCAAGCTTTTTCCTCCGAGCAGCCTCCTCCTTTTGTCTTTGGATCAGCTCGAGCTCACGGTATCGTTCTTCCTCCTTCCGCTGCAGCTCCAGAGCTTCTCGTCGCTGAGCTTCTTCTACTCTTCTCCTATTCTCTTCTAGCATTCTATCAAGCTCTTCTCTCTCTTTTCGAGCTTGTTCCTGAAAAACGTCGCATTCAATACTAAGATCAAGAGGAGGTAAATCTCCCCGAAAATGGGCGTGCATAGTTAATGATTCAGGTTCCAATCAAGACAAACCACAAACTCATCCAGAACTAAGGAGAAACACGAAGTGTCCAATTAACTGAACTTTAAATAAAGCGTTCATTTTGTACTAATTAAACATTTTATCTAAAATAACTTTTAATTGATTGTTATCTGTTTTTAGAATTTCTAGAACCCGAAGGCACTCTTTAAAATTTTAACCAAACACTACCAATCAAGAAAAAAGAGACATTTATCCCTCCAAAAACACTCTAAAATCATGTCAAACACACACTAATATGAACCAGTGCTTTGTTGGAAGGAAAAGCCCTGTTGAATAGTTTGAATTGGGTTTGGTTGAATATTGAATGAATGTTAAATTTAGTCACAATCTAAAAATTCAGTGGTTCTCATTCGGTAATACCAGGACTGTATAAGGATGCATACATAAGTGTGTGTATATATATATAGTAACTATTCCTGTCTGCAACATTTCTGGTTCCACTAATAATGGCCACTAAGAGTCCTGCGGTCAACAAGGAAAAGGACACGAAAGGCCGAACCAAGAACATTTAGATATGCCAAATAAAACATTAAGGTACTATTTCATTTCAAATGGTTTAAAGCAATACGTCTTAAGTTATTTAAAGTATCAGAAGCATATGAAGCATTGATCCAAGTAGTTGAAGATTCGGTCATAAAAATGGGAGATCAGATTTCTCAAAAGAACTTGTATTATAAAATCTTTGGTGAATCCAACATTTCCTTTCAAATTGGATTTTTGTGTGATAATAGCAAAATCAATTCCTCGCATTTGCTTCTTCCTGGCAACAACAGCAAGCTTGCAACAATGTTTTGCACATTATCAAATTCCATTGGCCAAATTATATTTCTTAAATTCAAATGCGAGGGGAAAAAGTTAGATTACATGCTCCTATAGGCTACACAAGGGCATTGAGATGCTAACATTGTAAGTAAAAGTTAGAAGAAAATACCAAGTGCTTAAATTGACATACAGTAAATAATTACCAGCTGCAGAAAGCACATTCCTCRAATTTTTTGATGCGAAGTAATCGATCTACAAATATGTCATGGCTACTATGCATTTGGAGTTGATACAACCACGAAACGTAGCAAAAAGAATAGGAAAGAAAACGCTTACTTCTTTCTGTCTTGCAGCRGTAAGGGCGGCTTCTTTCTCTTTTTCAAGTTGCCGATCAACATCATCAAACAACTTCTTGCGACCTTCCTCTATCCGCCTCTGTATTTCYAATTTAGTCTCTTCAGAGTTCAACCTTTCTTCAACATTCTTCCGAATCTTTTCCTCCATCCTCATAGCTGCATCTTCTTCTAACTTTCTCAACTCTGCCTCGTACCTGGTAGAAGGAGTGCTAAATTTCAATCATAGAGGCCAAGCCAACATCTCAATGATATCATTTCGGCAGTCAGTAACAACAAAATCAAAAGATTCATTCTAAAGTTTTGTCACTTTTTTCCCATCTTCAACCATATCACACCACACATACATATTTCGCACTCGTTCAATGAATAAACTACACTAAAGGGTCAGAGTTCAAGAAGTCAGTATCTTTGGCACGAGCCCGAGAAAGACACACAAAGCTTATAACCAAGACAGTAAGATAAAGAATATAACACACAAGGAATTATAGTACTTCAGCAGTATGCTTACATCCTCTTTGAACCAGAAGCTTGGAAGTTTTATCAATGAAGAAGAAGAGTCACAATATGAACAGCCAGATTAGAACCAAGAATTACAAGAAAGAAAACGTCAGAATTCATCTCTAACTGCACCAGCTCCCTCTTTGTATACAGCTCTCAGCCGTTAGATAGATAACTGCCATAATCTGATTTATATTTTACTTTAACTGATCTTCTGCCCGTTTGTTCAACTGCTTACACAAACCATTCTCAGTTATAATCAAGGGATTTTCGTCTTTCAATAGGTAAATTCCGATGGTGCGATTTCAAATACTAAAACCATTTCTAGAATTAAGAAATTCAAATGGGATGTGAAATTATCGGTAGAAACAAACACCCAACTTAAGAAGAAGTTATTATGGAGATTGGAAAGTACCTCTTCTTCTCTTCTTCCTCTTTCTTGAGCTTCTCAATCGCATTTTTCCGTTCAGTGGAAGCATGGCTCGGACTAGAGCTTCGTGATTTGGGAGAAGGGGAAGGGGAAGACGAGGAAGTCCGACTTCGGTGGCGCCGGCGTCTGCGTGGAGTGGGAGAGCGAGTCCTACGACGCCGGTACGACGGCGAACGACTCCGACGGCGGCGGAGGGAACGCGAACGGCTTCTTCTCCTGCAACATAAAACGTAGAAACAGATCAGAAATTGCTTCGGTGAGAGGTTGAAGAAGCGAGAGAGAACCTGGAATGGGAATTGGAATAATATGGGGAAGGGCTTCGGTCCCTTCTGCTTCTCCGGCTATGGCGGTAGGAATTTCCCCGGTGACTGTACGATGGAGACCTCGATAAACTCCTTCCCATTGGAGCGAATTGGATTGATTTCCGTCCAGTGGATGAAGAATCAGAGGAGGAAGAAGAACGAACCCTAGGCGGGCTCACTGGAATCGAAAATCAGGAATCGAAAATCTGGGTTGATCATAGATTCATATACATTTCATTCATGCCTAAAGAGAAAGCAATGTTCCAACTTCTGCTTGGCTTCCATGGTTTTCAAATTGGGGGTTCGCCATTTTTGTATCAGTGTAAGGTGGAATTTGATATCAAAATAATATATAATGCATCCCTCTTGCATGCCAATGGTTACCTAAGGTTATACTAAAAAGATTTGAATTTTTTTTAATTAAATTTTCGTCACGTGTCGATTTTTACGTGTCTATAGATTCGACATCAATGTGACGGATAAATTAATATCTTCAAAGTACTGTAAGAAAAATCTAATAAAATATGCTGATATAGATGTAATATTGATATTAATCATTTGTAATTTATCAAATTGTGAAATGCTTATTATTTCTTTTTTTATAAGAAACATAAGATATATATTAGAAACTAGCAAAAGGGAACAACCTACGGGCAAGGACCGAGGAGGCCCTCCCCAAAAAACTACCACATTACAGCTTGCCAATCCCGTGAAAGAGAGGCTAAATTGTAATTACAAAAGAATCTCCTATAAGTAAGGCACCAAGATGCCGTAATAATTTGTACGTTCTTAAGAAAAATATCAAAAAATTGAGAGGTATCGCTAAAGACTCTTTGGTTTCTTTCTTTCCAAATACTCCAAAAACAAGCTCTCCCAGCACAACTCCAAAGGACCCTCGTTTTTTTCTTTTAGAGTGCCACCGTGTATAATTTCAATCAGCTAATCATCGACCTTCTTAAGGAGACAATCCGAAATGCCACATTCCCTCACAATAAAAGATCGACACTTTGATGCGAAATTACAATGGAGAAACAAATGATCAATGTTCTCCTAATTTCTAAGGCAAAGGGAGCAAACAAAAGGAGAAATCATCYTGTTTTGAAGCTTCTTCTGCAATGTCTCATGAGTATTTAGGCTTCTGTAAGCTATGCTCCAAAGAAAGACTTCGATCTTCCTTGGACAGGAGAATTTCCAAATCAAAATAATGAGAGGGGACTTTAGAAAGGGAGTCATTTTCGTAASCTTTAGGAACATAGATTTGGTGGTAAAACGTTTCTCTACCCAAAGTTTATTCCACCTTGTCATCACCCACCTCCCATCTAAAAGAGTTTAGCATCTCCATCAATCTCAGCGAGCTCTCCACCTCTCTATCGAGAAGACCTCTTCTAAGACCCAAGTTCCAATCGCAGTGCTCATTGTTCCAACAATCAACCACAGTACAATCTTTCTTGGTTGATATTCTATATAAATCTGGAAATCTGCTTTCAAAGGAAATATYTCCCAGCCAAGAGTCCTTCCAAAATTTGATCCTTTGCCCATTCTTCACCTTGAAGGAAATGAAGTGCATAAAATCAATTCTCATCTTTGCAATTTCCATCCAAGGCCTCCCCTTAGTAGCCCYTCTAGTTGTTGGTGGCAACCATMTATTGTCGTCTCTGTTGTATATGCTTGAAAGAATGCATTTCCACAATGGATCTTCTTCTTGAATGAATCTCCACAGTCACTTGTGAAGCAAGGCATTATTTCTCTGCTCGTAAGCTCTAATCCCCAACCCACCGTAAGCCTTTGGCAGGGAAGTACGTTCYCAACTCACTAGATGCCTCTGAGGGTGTTGACCGTAGCCGCTCCAAAAGAAATTTCTAACAATTTTCTCCAATTCTGAGATCACTTTTTTCATACAACGGTATGCTATTAAACACTAAAAGAGCCATAATGAGCCTGCCTCCCTTGGGAAGCATAAGATTTTTCCAATTTTCGAGTTTCGCCCTGAACTTCTTGACAATTTTATCCCAAAAAGAAGTTTTTTTTTTTAAAATTTCCTCCTAGAGGAACCCCTAGATAATTAATAGAAAGCATCTTTGCTTTACAACCAAAAATAACAGCTTGCTCAAGAATAGATTTTTCCAATTTTCGAGTTTCGCCCTGAACTTCTTGACAATTTTATCCCAAAAAGAAGTTTTTTTTTTTAAAATTTCCTCCTAGAGGAACCCCTAGATAATTAATAGAAAGCATCTTTGCTTTACAACCAAAAATAGCAGCTTGCTCAAGAATAGCCTCCTTTTCCACATTAATTCCCACCAAGGTTGTCTTCTCAAGATTGAGAGAAAKAYCAGATTCCATCRTGAAGATAGCTAGGAAAGTCCACCACCTTTCTAAGTTGTCATCACCATCTGGACAGAAAATGATAGTATCATCGGCAYATTGAAGGTGTGTGAGCGTCACCTCGTTGTGGCATATCCTAGAGCTACTTAGGAATCTTCTTTTGCAACAAAAATGGATGGACCGGCTAAGTGAGTCTCCAATAATAGTGAAAAGGAAAGGAGAAAGGGGATCTCCTTGCCTAATCCCCCTTCTCGCAATTTTCCCTCTAGGTTTCCCATTGACAATGATGGAGAAATTGGTCGATGTAAGACAGCCTAATCCACATTCTCCACCTATTGCCGWAGCCTTTGTCCCTCAAGATCGCGTCGAGATAATCCCAATCAACCTTGTCATAAGCCTTTTCTAGGTCAAGCTTTAACAAGAAGCCTCTCTTTTTTTCTTATCTTTCCAATCCCAACAACCTCCAAAGCAACCATAATAGCATCAAGAATCTACCTTCCCTCCACGAAAGCTATCTGAGAGTCATCAATAATAACAGGGAGAACTTTTTTGAGTCTATCAGCCAAAACCTTAGAGATTATTTTGTACAAGGAGGTGACCAAGCTAATAGGCATGTACTCACAAAGTCTATTAGCCTTTAGTTTCTTTGGGATGAGGCATATATAGATCTCATAGGTCTTATTGTTGATAATTYCATTTTCAAAAAAATCTTGGAACACCTCTACTATGTTTGTCTTCGAGATGTTCCAAGGTTTTTTTTTAAATTCATTCGACATATCGTCAGAAACTGGAGATTTCAAGTTTCCTAGGCTTTGAATTGCTTTCCGGATCTCCTCCTCTTTAAAAGGTTCCTCCAGCCATATACTCTACTGACCGGTGAGAGGGGCCGATTGAATACCCTCCAAAGTGAATCTCGAGCCCTCCGTATTAGCATACAACCTTTCAAAAAACTGCACGACTTCCTGCTCTATATCCTCATCAGTAGCGAGCAAATTCCCATGACCATCCTCTAACGATGAAACGTAGTTTCTGTTTTTTCTTGCCGAAGCCCATTGATGAAAGAAATGCGTATTTTCATCTCCTTGCATAAGCCATTGTTGCTTACATTTCTGAGACCATAGCTTAAACTCCTTAAAAACCATCTCCGATAGTTGAATTCTCAAGGCTCTCCTTTTGTTGTTCAAATCAGCATCTAGGTGCCCCCTCTCCTCAGCCTTGTCTATCTCATCTATTTGCATCTGGCATTGTTTTTTCTCGACATCCACTCTGCCAAAAACTTCTCTATTCCACTTGATCAAATGTTCTTTTAGAATTTTTAAGCGTTTCATGAAAGCATAACCCGGCCAACCCTTAGGAGAAGCCTCCAACCACCACTGTTTAAATTTTTCCAGAAAATCCGAATGGGCCATCCACATGTTCTCAAACCGGAAAGAGGTTGGACCCTATTTATGAGAACCAAAACTGAGTAAAAGGGGATAATGGTCYGAAGACGTTCGAGATAGCCTATTTAACATAACATCTTTAAAGGCCATATTCCAGTCTTGGGAGATGAGGAATCTATCAATTCTAGTGGCAGAYGGGGAATCCCTACCACACGACCAAGTAAACTGACCGTTCTTCATTGGAATATCTACCAAATCAAGCTCAGCAATTAAGTCATTGAAGAGCCTCATACTCTTAGTTATCCTGCCTCCTCTTAGCTTCTCCGAAGTCCATCRAGTTACATTAAAGTCACCCCTTAAACACCAAGAGCCAACACAGAATTCTGAAAGAGTAGCTAATTCATTCCAGAAATGCTTATTTGTTAATTTCGATACTCATGACAAATTGTTTTGTTTTTATAACATTTTTAGAAGTATCCATATATTTCCATCGATATTTTTATGAAAYTGAGAGCTCGACGATTCTAGACATTTAAGACCGTCATTACTATATACAACAAACGTGRAGTGGAGATTTGAACCTATAACCTTTAAGAGGGGAGGAGCAAAGTGTCTTGAGAGCTGAGTTGTTGACTTAAAAGATCAMATTTCTTTTTTCTTAATTTTTCTTTCTTATATTTTTAAAATATGATTCTCATATGTCATTTTTAAGAAATGTTTTAAACATGTATATCAATATTGAAAATACTCAAGTTAGTTCATTGTTCAATGATATGATCGTCACAAACTTAATTGCAAGGTGAGAGATCGAACCATTGATGATAATAAATAAATGTTTGATTCGCTTTGTATGTTTAAGAGTCTAATTAGTGTAAGAACCATTATCCTAAAATGTATAATAAATATTTTTAAAATTAAATATACCATAAATTTTGTGTATTTAAAAAATAATAATTTTCATGTGTAGCTTTTACTTTATAAATTTTACCTATGTGAAAAAACAAGAAGAGTAAAACATATTTATGTTTCTTTTTTAATTTAAAAAATAGAAAATAAGAAACACTTGTCAAAAGTTTTTTTTTTGTTGTAAAATTGAGGAACGAAACGAGGCAACGTCGGGAAAATAAAATAAACAAAACAATTCAAATAATAAAAGAAAATTCAAAATTCAAAATGGCATTTCCCACCAATTTTCAAACTTGATTTCCCACCAAATTTCTCACTAATTTCTCACCACTAATTTCTCACTATGAGCACCACATTGACTTTATTTATAGGTCATRGATAAGCATGTGGTGTGATTTACATGACACTAATAATATCTAAAATTGAAACATATGGGACATTAGGGTTTCCGCACATAGTGCATGAATAATGGAACATATGGGGTTATGTATAAAAAACACATACTGGACATATGGAGCATGGATTATGAGACATCTYAATATTTGGACACTAAGCCAGGGTCAGTGAACATCTATTTAATTTAAAAATTCATAATATTTTTTTCTTTTTTCTTTTTTGTCCAACAAAAGTGGGATGGGAGGATTTCAACCTCCAAATTCAATAAAAGGAATTATATACCTCCACGTTTAGCCATGTTGGCACCAAAATTATTATATTTTTCTTTCTTTAGGTGGAATGTTTATTTTTTAATTCAATATAAGAAGCAATTACCAAACGCATATATGTTTCTCCTTCTTAATAAAAATGAAACAAAAAATAGTAAATGAGAAAAAATAAACATAAATGTTACAAAACATTTCGATGCCTCCTTTACTACTTGATCTGATCAAAATTAATCAAAACTGAACAACTAATCTTCAATTTTGAATCTAATGAAACCGAACCAACAAATATATCTTTACCATAACAGTCCAATTTGTTTTCTTAATGTGTGTTCTTTGGATAGTCTATAATGATGATTATTTTTTTTAGTACAACGACATGTGGGGATGGAAGATCGGAGATATATGCTTAACCAATTGAGCTAAGCTCAATATGACGAGCAATGATAATTTGATGAGAAAGTGATGGATGTGACGTACTAAGGGGACTATCAACAATCCTAAGAACAATCATATTTAGTTATAGTTTGGATCTCAAATATACTACCGTTCGAGAGTTACTAGTTTCAAGTTATATAATGTTTTAAATTATACTAGATATATCGACATGTCGAGGAACCCAACATAGGAAAAAATAACATGCCACTAAAATTTCAAAGCGACAATGTCAAAATTTCATGTGCGTTTCTTAATTATTATTTTTTTCCCAACTTGTAGGCCCTATTGTAGGAGGAGCGGGGTGAATATCATTTACTTTCATTAAAATAATGATTTAGTCTTTAAACTTTAATTTAAAATTATTTAGTACTTTCAAAATTGTAACAATTTAATCTTATATTTTAAATTTAGTAATAATCTACCTATTGTGAAAAATCTCATTAAAATTAAGTACCGATTTTAGTGGCGTTGCTATAATATTGATATATTTTCATTATACATATAAGTGAGATTTGTGAGCGTTTTTCTTGTTTAGGGTAAAGAGAACCCTCCATAAATAATTTATCACAAGTCTCTTGCAAACAAATACAAAGTATTGTATGTATAAAAATAGCAACTAGCTACTTTGTAGCTTTAACAACCTCAAAAGCTCACCATACATACACATGTATATTCTTTTTCTTTTTCTTTTTTATCTGTGATTGTCCATGCCAGTTTACGCGTAAGCRCACCTCGACTAATCTCACGAGACAATCCCCTGACCATACACTTCTATATATTGTAACCTAAAGCTATTGTCATCACAATTCACGACCACATGTCCATCTGTTATAGTTTTACAGATATCTACCTACACTACATACTCGTCTCGATCAGTATAAGCTCCAACTAACTTTTTTGATGTGACAGTAACTTTATTGGCTCAAAAATCTTAGTGAGATCCACTCATCTATTAAATGCAATAAAAATACGCCACATCAGGAAGTCGGTAGGAGCTCCCTCCACTACTTTATGTAGGCTAGTATTGTTCATTATAGATATACGTGTCGGTCCTAAGTTCCCATCTCCATGCTCAACAACCATATATACAAAAGAGGAAGATTGATTACCTTTTTCAGAATGTGAGTAAATTTTGACTTGTCCTAAGAGCTTGGCTTCAAAATTGGAGAATAGTGAATGGTTTTCTTTCTTTCTATCTGGCTTTAGACAACTGTATGGCTTCTTGATCATGGCTTGACTCTTCACCCCAAACAAATTGGTGGCACAATAAGGGCATTTCTTGATCTCTTACCTCTTCCAGCTGCATCCACTCTGCCCACCTATCTGCCAGCCCTTCTCCATGGAGTAGATTCACAACTTCCGCCATCGTCGGGCGGTCCTCCGGTGAACTTTGGGTGCAAAGCAATGCCACTTGAACGATGTTTTCGACTTCTTTCACATCATAACTCTTTAAGTTTTTATCCACAACATCTCCAAGCCTATTCTCCCTCTGCAGTTTCTTTATCTATTCAATTCAGAGATACGTAATGTACATTATACTCACGTTTATCTTCATAATCCAAAGTCAATGTGAAGTTTATAGGTGAAAAATCTTACATGATCAAGTAGAAGAACATCTTCCTCCTCTTCAAGGCGGGAGAAATCAATTGCTCGTTGACCGGTGACGAGTTCCAGAAGCGTTATACCATATCCAAAAACATCTGTCTTTTCAGACGATTTTCCAGTGGACAAGTATTCAGGGGCAATGTGACCCATCGTACCGCGCACTTGAGTGGTAATATGAGTCAATTTAGTATCGACTAGCTTGGCCAGCCCGAAATCTCCAAGAACAGCTTCAAAGTTGTCATCTAGTAAGATATTTGCAGCCTTTAGATCACGATGAATGATCTTGGGATTACAGTGCTCATGCAAGTACTCCAAACCATGTGCTGCACCAAAAGCAATCCGTTTCCTTGAGGGCCAGTCCAAGCTTCTTTCTCCAGGCTTTAAATCTACAACATTTTAAATGGTCGTGTTAGTGTGTGTTCAGCATGCCTTTTAAAGTGCTTCTTTTAAAATTTGTAGTGTTTGGTTAAAATTTCAGAATGTGGTAAAATGTGTTTTTACCAATTAAAAGGACTTTTTAAAATTTTCAATAGTCAAAAAGTAGTTTGAGCAATTTTAAAAAGGCATATAGCAGTTAAAGCAATTTTAGAGAAAGTACTTAGCTGATTTTCTTCCAAAAGTTCTAATAGAGTAAGTGTTTCACTCATAAACACTTTTTTCAATAGTCATTCAAACACACACCTAGTCTTGAAAGCTCGGTCGACCTATCAAATAAATTAGAAACTTGGCTTCTTCTATTCTATCCAGGTACTTCTGAAAAAAAAAAGGGTACTCAAAAGACCAAACTGTTTTCATGTCAAGTTGCGGTATGCTATGTTAATAAATTTTAGGCTAAATTACAAGTAAGTTGTCATTCAAGCTTGTGTCAATTTAATCCATCCCCTCCAAAAGATTTCTAATAGATCCTTAAACTTTTAAGGTTGTGTCTACCTCGTCCCATACTTTAAAAATATTCTAATAAGTCTCCAAACTTTGAATTTTGTATCTAATAGGTCCCTGTCATTAATTCCGTCAGCTTAATACTTATGCCATCAAGCGTCTAAACTTGTCCGAAATCAGCTAACCACGTCAATTCTTCACATAAGCATTAAACTGATGGATTTCACAATAGAGACTTGTTAAAGACAAAATTAAAAGTTGAAACACTTGTTAGAAAATTTTTCAATTACAGGTACCAAATAGATAAAATCCTGAAAGTTTAGAGACCTATTAACCTTAACGACCAAACTTTTCATTTAACCTAAATTTTATGATCTTGTTCCATCAAATCTCCAAACAAACAAAACAGCATAYTCACAACAACAGCTCCAATAAAAACAAGTAGAGGATGATGGAGTAGAACATCAAGCTTGTGGTTGCACAAAAACTTAAGTACCTCTCAAGTGATGCGCCACACTAAGATTCTGCATGAAGGGATAAACAAGGATTCTCTCAGACGCAGTTGTGCAGAACCCGATCAATCGGAGGAGATTGCGATGCACTGCAACACTTATTAGTTGAACTTCTCTTAGGAATGCAGCCTCCCCACCAGGACTATTGTAGTCAGTTAACCGTTTCACGGCAACCTTTGAGGCATCCGAGAGGACGCCTTTATATACTTTCCCAAAGCCTCCTTGGCCGATGATGTTCGTTTCGTTAAAGTTTTCGGTAGCAAGTTGGATTTCCCGCAGAGAAAATCTTCTGATTTGCCCAAAGGAAAGTTTACAGTCATCTTCACCTAATACAAAATAGATGCTGTTAGCTTCCACAAGATTTGCATCCAATAAATATGCATTCTTTCTGCCATTCTTGAATTGTCGACGTAGAATTTTGTCTTAGTTAGAGATCACGATAGAAACTAGGAACTAAAATGTTATTATAAGAGAAAAGATAAAGAACTACAATAGCTCATCCAAGTATTCGAGGTACTAGGAGCCTCCCCTCTTGAGTATTCTCACTCAAGGCTGAACCAACTAAAATATTGCCTACCTTTGTTCTCTTCCACTTACTCTATTTATAACCAATTCATACTAACAAACTCCAAGACTAATTACTAATATGTCCTTAGTATTCTAATAGTATTTCTAACTACCCCTAATGGAGCCATTCCTAACAATCACACTGTATTACCCTCAAGAGTGAAGGAGATGTAAATGATGGTAGAAATTCAAAACAGATAAAAACAGTTTCCTTGAACTGTTGAGAGTATGATTTCAATAACCCAAAACTCCACCATTATCATTATAGATAAGATGGGAAACACTAAAAAGGATTGGAAAGTGAAGCAAAACTTTACCAGCAACATCAACAAACATAGAATCCTTAAGCTTATGCATGTAGCAGCATCTATAAACAAAGAAGGCACCAATTGACAGAAGAATGAATCCCCCACAACTTGCAGTACTTGCTACTACCCCAAATTTTGAACTTTTTGCAGAAGCTGTCAAGATAGAAAAATGAGGCTATCACCGAATAATCCATATAATGAACTAGTGGTGGAATGATGTGATATAATATAGAACCGACCTCGATGGGGAGAGGTGGAGACACAAGGTTTATCCAAGCTATGCCCACATGCTAAACCAGTTCCTGAAAAACTGAAAGAATGTTTCCGATTCAACATACATGAACGGCCTATTCTAACACATTGGATAGAGGATAGGATATGGTTTTTAATTTCTTCAAGATATGGTTGGATTTGTACTAGAGTGGTGAGGAGAAGGTTATGCATTTACTTCAAATGTAAAAGCATCTGAATAGGGAGAAGCAAAATTTTGCATTCGTTTTTACATATATAATAATTCAATTCTAAAAATTTAAGGAGCAAACTAGAGGAAAACTATACAATCTTAAGTATTTTATACAAACTAAGAGTAGAAAATTGCTTCTTCCTTGCTCCACCCCTATTCAAGTTACTAAACCCATCTAGTTAAAAGATTAGAAGTTTCAATATTTAGAAACTAATAAATAAGAAGTTTGAAAGCTCGAAATTCATAGACATTTCAACAAGAACAATTAATAGCTAATTAAGCTTCAAATTATCATCACCATATAGATACTTAAGTGACTCTGTTGTAGTCTGCTCCCAATAATCCAAGTAAAAAGAAAAAAAAATACTTTAGACTTGACTCATAGCTGGCCTTTAAAATTAACCATGTCAGATATAGAAAAATAATATATTATCCATCACTCTTAGACATTTGACTGTAAAAAAGATCAAGAATGAGTATATTTACTTGAACATTGGAATTGAAAACAATTGTGCTGGAACTTCTCCTGTCAAGTTGTTGTCTGAGAGATCCCTGCCACCAGCATTTGAAGAGAGAGTAAGAAAGTAAAAGGTCAGGGGAGTAACCAAATTAAAAGAATTAGAGGAAAAAAATTTGAAGTTAATGGCAAAGATCCTCATAGTTTAATCAGTCCGTCAAGGGATGTCTATGGTTGGTTCGGGTTGAATTAAGATATCTGGTTAACCCGACTATTCGAGTTACAAACTTCTCAATTAAATTGACTTGGGTTAGGTAATGGATCAAATCCAACCCAACTTTCTTTTTTGAAAATTTTTAAAAGGAACTAAGGAAATGTAGTACATTAAAGACCTACTTACCCATTTTTAGACATATGAATTTAGAACCAATAACTTTATATTGTTAGAGAGTAACAAGAACCTAAAAGAGCCATGAACTAACATTAAGATAATTTAAAAACCATGAATTAAACCGATCCATAAAGATTATAACTCAACCTAACTATCAAATTTTTCTGATCACCATGCTTCCTGAACACCCTTAAGTCACTATTCATTAATATTGGTGAATCGAGAACAGAACTGAATAGATGATTCCCCCTCTATGCCTTAAACCCAAATAACATTGTCAATCTGCAAAAAATGTCATTTTTTAGGCTTTAAGAAACAAGGGAGGAAATAGCCTTACAGATGTTTAAGACCATAAAGTTGACCCCAAGCCACAGGTATAGGGCCATTAAAGTTGTTATTAGCAAGATTCAAGTTCTGTAGGTGAGTCATGTTAGCTAGATAATCTGGTAGAACACCCACTATATTATTGTTCTGCAAATCCCTGCAAAAAGTAGCAAAAAATTCACATTGACACGTCAAAATCATGAACTAACAACAATATAAAGAGGAAAAAGGGTAAAAAACTATGACACCTTTTCAAAAAAATTTACTCATGGATATAATTTGTTATACTTCACAAGAATTGATACAGTTCACAAATTCAAAACAGTAGAAATATCAACAGATTACATTCACGTCTTTCTGTAGTTCTGAAATGAATATTGAAACTAAGAAGCAACATAATTACAAGATAGTGCCCGGAGCATTGTAAATAGAATCAGAGTGAATAGTTTGCTTATCAATATCTCCAAATTTCAGTGGAATATTATCATTTCAAGAAGAAAAAATAGTTCAGGGAGTACTTAAGTTTCTCTACCAGATGTTCCTTTTGCTTTTGAATGACTTATGTCACCAAGTTTCCATATATGTTTTGCAAAGAATTGGGTTTGGTAAAAGGTCTACAAACAGGCCTTTCTTACTAGATTATTCAAGTGAAAGAAAAGGTTCAAGATGAAACCAAAATATGATGGAATAAGAAAGGGGAGGGCAAATGAAAAATTAAACTCAATGCAAGAAAATTCCAATCAGCTTCTTGACTGAAATTTTAATTGATCTAAATGAAGTCTACCCTAGATTCTATTGCATAAAAATGTCTACAACACTGCATATCAATAAAAAGTTCACTGATATTCAGCAGGAGCAGCTTACAAGCTAGCCAAGAATTTCAGTTTGGTAATTGAATGAGAAAGTGATCCTGAAAATCCCACTGAACCCAAGCTCCTGCAATTAGTACACATTCAAAAACTAAGAGTGAGTTTGGCAAATCTTTTAGTTTATCACTTTTCTATCCTATAATCACCTCTTGATTGCTTCAACTACAAGAATATTAATCACTTGAAAGTCACTTTTCGGATGATCATCTCTCAAAATGTTTCTTTAAAAAAGTTTCAAAACAAATCTGATATTTTGAAAATGCTTTTAACACAATAGATCTTTTAAAAAGCATTTTTTGTCATCTAAAATTACTTACGAAACTATACTAAATAAACTCTAGATTATGAGGACTTACAAGGAAATGACATTTCCATTTCGGCAGGCAATATGAGACCAACTGAAGCAAGGGCTTACAAGATGATAATTCCAATCAGTTATCTGATGATTGGAATCATTTAGAGCCTCTAAAAAATCAACCAAAGCTTCTCCTACACATGAGAACAAGATCTATCATGGGGTGTATAGAAGAATAAAGAAATAATTTTTTCTATTTTTTTAATTAATATTAAACTACTACTTCACCCAAAAGCTTGATAGGATACAGTAAATTTAATTTCTATTCATATTCTTAACACTCCTCACTTGTGGACTTGAAAATTARTACAGGACATTACAAGTGGATTATTACCTGAAGCAAAAAGGAAATGAAACTGCAAAAGTTCAAGCTTAGAACCTTCTACTTTTGATACCATGTTAAACTTCTGCTAAACTCAAAAGTTAACTACGACACGTTAATTGTTTGTTCATATCTTTAACACTTAAAAGATGAAGAATTTCTTGCTAAATTGAGTTTGAGCATACCTTCCACATCAGGATCCGTGGATGCATAATTCAACCTCAACAAATAGAATAATACCAGCCCCTGAACGATCCGTCTTAGAGGACTCCATCTATAGAGCACTGGAGACATGGCCATGGGAGTATCTCCTTCTTCACACAATAATTGACAGGGGGATCTCTTGCCTCCTCCTTACAAAAAATGTCAACAGTGCTAGAGCGTTAAAATTAACCGAATTGAAAGAGTAAAGCACAGATAAATATTGGGTTCATAAATCTAAGGAAATGATTAAAAAGTACACAGAAAAAAAAAACAAAAGAAAAGAAAAGGACCACCTAATATATTGGAAGTAAGGGAAGAAGCGAGAGAGAAATATATAGAGGGAGAGGATATCACAATTCAAATTATCATATACATGAGTGAAACATCTCAAGTTTCATGCTGTCAAATACTTGTTTCTCCATATTCCATACGGACAAAAACGAAAAATAAGAAATAAAAAAGAGCAGAGCCATAAATTTCTTAGAGAAGGACAAAGTTTTATGTTCTAGCTTTTTATCAATATAATCTCTCGATTCGAAAAATTTTAGGGGAGCAAACTAAAGCATACAAAATTTTAAGTATTTTACATATATCTTTTGAATTTACACCACCTAAGAGCGCAATTGGTCCTCTTTCCTTCTTAGCTCCGCTCCTGATTCTAAGCAAAACATTATCAAATAAAAGTTATGATAGAACAGTCCCCGAAAGTCTCTTGTTGGTTTTTTCTGGTTCCTTCCCATCTCCCCTTTATTCCAGGAACAAAAAAGCAGATATTTGGGGGATGGCAAAAAGAGACATGTACTGAAGAAGAATAACATAAACAAAAGAATAAAAGAAAGAAAAAATTGGGAGAAGTGAAGTGGGAAGTTGTTTACTCACTAGCATCAAACATAGCTTCTGAGGCTGCAAATGCTGCAAACAAGCAAAGCCAGAGAATGGATCATGCTAGAGATTACAAAAGCAGCACACATTGTTAAATAATCTAATCTAATCATGGGGGAACTCAATGACAATAGGAACAATGTGAATATGATGGGGCTATAGCAAGTGCAAGGGTCCCACGAAGCATTTAGAATGAAAAATTCAATGTGGGATGTGAAAAAATCCTGAGAAAAAGCAATAAGAGAGAGAGAATAAGATTAAGCAGCAGCTGCTGCTGCTGCTGCYAGTTGATGGTGGAATCCGAATGCGAATGAGCATTAGAATCTCTGTTCCATCGCACCATTGGGGCCTCTCCTTTTAATATCATTGATCTGTATCATTCAGAAATGAATACAATTACCACCACCAACACCACCACCACCACATTTGCTTTACTTTCCAAAACCCCTTTTTAAAAAACAAATTGAAAAGGAGAAAGAAAGAAAGAAAGAAGAAAAAAAGGAGTTAAAATGCGCTTTAGAACAGTCAAAGAAGCTTCCACTCCACTGGACGTTAATGCCCAATCCATATTCCCCTGTTTGGATTACAACAAATCCAAGATTTCTCTGCAAAATAAAGGCAAATGAAAATTCCATTATTGGAAAAGGATGCCACCACGACGACGATAACGATAACCACTGCTTCCTTCTTCCCTACTTCAAAGTCGCTTTATAAGACAGCTTCTCTTCCACCTGCCCTGTAAAAGTAAAAGTAAAAGCAAACCCAGTATGTAGATCAATCATCTTTGAAATAAAAAGCTGTTCAATGAACAAATTACAAAAGAAATAGGGGCCAAACCAGACCCACCCACAAACAACAATCAATTCGTTTCATGGGTTATGGGTGTAGTGGTGGTAACGGATTGTAGTTTGTATTCAGATATTTGTTTCAAAAAATCTTTTGGGATGAGGAAAAATGGGTTTTTGTAATCATTGGGAAATTATGGGGAATGCCGGCAGTTTCAATTGTTTCTTGAATGGTTTTTTTGGTTCAAGGAGAGGGTGGGAATTTTTATTTTATTTTATTTTTTTAGTGAATTAGGACTATGGTTTTTTTTTTTGTTTTAATTACAACAAAAGTAGGGACGGAGGATTGCAACTTAGACGTCCAAGGGAAGGAGAAGGTATCATAAGCTGAGTTATGCTCATGCATAGAAACGAGAGTGACTTTCTTTAGTGAATTAAGAGTAAATGAAATATAATATTTTTTTTTTAGTACGACATTGTGGGGGCGAGGGTTCGAACTCATGACCTTTTGATCATAATAGGTACCTTAATCACTTAAGCTATGCTCGGTTTGRCAAGATTTGGATTCACTAATATACTACTATGCAAATCTATATGTTGCTAAATACAACACACGTCATCTAAGTTAGCGAAGGATTCAATAGGGAGTCTCTTCGAGTTGGTTCGAATTGACCAGCTCGATCAGGTCTAGTCCAATTAGGTGTGGTCTGGTTGGGTCTAGTCCAATCCAGGTGGCTTGAATTGTGTTGCTTCATTGACATGGTAAATTTAATATGGTAACTTTACCCATAAAAATGGGAAAGGCACCCACTTCTTTTTAGTTTGAGGTCTAATTTCAATATAATACATCTATAAAATGGATATTCGTCTCAATAGCAATAGTTTTATGCCAAATTCGCCTTCTCAAGAGGAAACTTTTGTCTTTCATCCCAATCTCATTTCTATTATTGTTCATGATCAAGTTCGAGCCACCAATGGTTTTCTGTTTTTTTTTCTTTGTTCAAAGAGAAAAGACTCACTTGATTAACTTGTTTCATTGTCGATCACTCTACYGGAGGAAAAAAAACAATAAAAAATTATTAAATTAAATTATCGTAGTGTCTGCCTTCTAATAACAATTAAGTATAGAATGTATATACGACATCTAAAAATCTCTAATAACTATTGGATTTACCTTCAAAATATCTATTGTAATTCATTTCTCATATATCTAAGTAAGTAAAACTACCCGTCTTATTGTATCGTGTTGTAATAATTTCCTCATATCTCAATCTCATCATGCAACTAGGAAGGAATTTTGAAAASCTTTGAGGCACTTTGAAAACAAATATATATCTTTTTTTTAACTAATTCTATTTTTCTTAAAATTAAAAAAAAACTTTATAAATTTATAAAGACAAAATTTTAGCTTTTAAAAACTTTTTTTTTTAAACTCCACTAACTGCTTTTGAGGTGTAGTGGGCCTATGTGATGATTTTTTTTTTCTTTTTTTTTTTCCTTTAGAATCTGATTTCGTATTTTAATGTTGAATTACAYGTCACTAAAATTTCAATTTTATGTTAGACAGATAGATTCTTAAATTTTTGTCCAATAAATTTAATTTTGTCTGTAATAAGTTTATAAATTTTTAAAAATGTTTAACAAATTTATGAATTTATTAAATAAAATTTCATAAACTTCCAAGGATCTATTAAATACACTCAATCATGAAAGTTCGAGAAAGTAATTTAACATTATTTTATCTTTACTCAAATTTAAATACTTGCAAGTTTTATATTAATAGTTTTAATATATTATTTTAATTTATTTGAACTTTTTTTTTCGAGTACAACTTGTGGAGACGAGGGATCGAACTCACAACCTTTTGATTGGAGATATATGTCAATTATTACTGTTGATCTATACTCGTTTTGGACAGAATTTTCAAGTAGTTCCAAACATTCCAATATTTTGGTTCAATAATTTTTGGGTATTTTAACTACGTTCTAAGAAAATTAAATTTAGGGGCTTGGATCTTATACAATTTAAAAAAWWTTCTCTGGCTGAAATTTTGACTGCATCTCTGTCGATTTCATTTGTTTTCTCTTCTAACCYATCTCTCTAAAAAAAAGTTATTGAACTGTAAGTGTACRGGTAATTGTCTGYTAGATTGAGTTTCCAATCCACTTAAGTACCACAAATACTAATGTTTGGTTTTATTTAGAGAAACAACACTGGGATTTCTTAAACACAAAGAATAAACGACAAAGCCATTAATAAAATCTAATGAGAACTTTTCATGGAGAATGGGTCCTAGGAAATTAACTTCACCAACTGAATTTACGAGGAGATATATTATRCCAAGATTGAATATACAATTAATCTCTAAGTCAAGAAATCACAATTCAAGACTCTCTTCTCGAGCACAATTAATTCTCTCACCAATATCTCTATCTAGTTTTATTAACCTGCAAAGTTCTAGAACTACGTGCTACAATCATGCATTCAAGTTCCAATCTAAACCGCCTCTCTCGMGCGTAAGATTCGCATTTGTCAACAATTAATATGTGGTCAACATATTAAAGACATTAAACAAGTAAATACACAAGTAGATTAAAAAACAAATCAAATCAAGGCAACAATCATTTAATCTAATTAATAAATCCAGTTGCTACATCAATCCTTATAACAATAAAATTTAGCTACTCAAGCTCATGCAAACACAACAAAAATCTCAATGAGAATTTCATGATAAGCTACAAAAGTAAAGAGAAAGTAGAGAAATTAAGGTCATTGTGTCGATAGATCATCCCGACTCAATCTCCAYAATCCCAAGCCTCTAGAATCTCTTCTCTCGGCTCCTTTTTGCTTCTAAATCTCGAAATGTCCCTTTTTCTCCAAAAAAAAAGAAAAATTTTAGTAGCGGTTATATGTTATAATTATAAACTCATGGCAATGTTGAGACGCTAAGGGCATCGTCTCAATGTTGTACCCTAAATAAACAAGGAATCACAGTCGTAGCGTCTCAACGCTGTCCCTCGGGATCTTGGCTCCAAATAGCGTAGTAATATCTTGTTTTCTACTCTGGCCTATGATTTTTCTCTCACTTTGGTCCTCTTGTGTCTTGTTTCCTCTCGATTACTCRTTCCTGGAAAATATAACTTAGGTACGTAAATCTACCRTGAACAAGCGAAATTTGACAAATAATTCCAATATCAGTCTCATGAAATATCACCTGCACACATGGTGCATATTTATTTACAATTCTAAAAACGTTTTTCAAATTACAAAAACATAAAAATAAATTGTAAAAACTAGAAACCAAAACCAATAATAAAAAATGAATTGATTACTAAAGGACCACCTTAACTAAATAAAGATAAAGTAGACTAATTATCTAATATCTCACCCTACATCAATTCAAGGACAAAAAAGGATTATTATTATTATTTTTTTTTTTAAGTTTAGAGACTTTGAAAAAGTTGGTATAATTTAAAGGTTGCTATTTTTAAGCCTTAAACAATGTAAATAAATAAATAGTTTTGGAAATAAACTCCAATCCATTTTAAACCAAGTGTTACAAGGCACTTATTTATGCTTATATATAAGGTGACTCTCCATATTAAACCTAAAGCTAAGTAATATACTATCCACACAATTTCCTAGAAGTGAAATTGATATAATCAACTTGATTTTGTATTAATGTATAATCTCTCGATGTTTTTCCTAAAAATAAACTTTGAGGACCGATGAACTCTTTCTTAAAGAAGTTTTGAGTCTTCAACTTCTTTGTATACCTCGAAACGGCTAGAATTTTGCATCAACATCARTGGTTAAGCTATAAAACAATGTTAGAAAACTAAAAATTAGTACAAAACAAGGATTTTTCACAATGGACAAGAATGTTCGAAGGATAAGGGTGAGATTTCAGTTAAGATCCAGATGGGCTCAAACAAAAATCAAGTGAAAGTGAAAGATCGACTCGATAGCTTTCTACTTTCTATCAAGGATTTTGCACCTCCATTGAAGGAATTTTTGGGCTACTTCCCTTCCTCTTAACTATAGGAAAAATTGAAGAAAAAATGCTCAAAATCTCAACAACACACATGTTTGCTTTCTCTTGGCTTTTGCTTCTCTCATTTGCCTTTTCTTTCTTATTCTTTTTACTCTCTTTCCTCTTTTGTTTTCTTTTTCTCTTTCTTCTTACTTTTTTSAACATAAGACTCACCCTTGGAATGAAAAAGAAAAATTACACAAAATGAAAGATCTAAAATGCAAAAATAAAAAATCTTCCCCTAAAAGCAATTTTCCTCTAACCTTCTTTAGTGATTTGTGCATAACTTCTTCATTTTTTTCATAATTAAAATGGAGCTCAAAAAATACRTTGGAAAGATCTTGCAATAAGGGAATGAAGACAACTAAAATCATATCAAGTGGAAGTCTCYGGAGAAAGGTATATGTAATAAAAGGTTTGAAAGTAGATAGACAGAATACAGAATCTCAATAACAAAACACGGGAGCAAATAATTTAGTGATTTTTGYTCGATGGTTCATGCCTATCTTCCTCATTTGAATGTTAAAGAAGAGAAAGTTTATGGTTTGAAAATTGGACCAAAAAAAAAAGTTAATCAAGATTGGAAAAAATTTGTTGGCAAAGGAGTGAATTAAAACCATAACTCTAAAGTTAATCAAGATTTAACCTTAGTTCATATCATACCCCTTCGGACTATTTCYAACTGATCAATTATGTAATAAACTGATTGGATTGTTGAAAAAAAAGCATTTACAAAGCCAAACAATAAGTAATATTCTATTATTGCTTATTTTTAAAAGTTTTAATGAAAAATGGTTTATTTCTATTTTAATTAATTATTGGAACGTACTGTTTAACATTTTAATTAAATTCATTCAATTTTTTATGACATTTAAATTAATTAACTCAGTTAAAATGTTTTGTTTTTTCATTTTAAAACATAATTTATTTTTCATCTTAAAGGTTGAAAATAAAAAATCTCATGTCAAAATTTTCTGAGCATGTTGTTCGATTCTATTAAGCTTCGGCGAGTAGAYACCTGAATTCGAATTTGTGTTAACTTCGAGAATTAGTAACCTGCGATATAGCACCATGGTCCTATTGAAATTTCTTCAAGATGGTGCTTCATCACAATACAACAATCATTTTCAAATTCTCAACCGGTTCTAACCAATCTTGCCAAAAGATTATTATTCTTGTTTTCTCAAAGTCTCATCAATTTCATACCTCCATTAAATGCAACCGAGCATACCTTTAAACAAATCTTCAAACAAAAATGCCTAACAAAAGTTAAAATTACAACAACAACACATATTGATCAAGTCCAATTTCCAATTCCATAAAATCAAAAGTTGATGGTAAAATTAGAGATGAAATCCAAATATATATATATAATCATAGTTTTTAAAAACAATTTTGTTAGGTTAATAAATGATGCTATATTCTATACCTTTTATTTAGAGATGCTATACTATATRCCTTGCATTAAAACCCACGTGTGACAAATGCAAAATGAAAAAAAAAATCAGAAAAACAAAGCCAATCAAAGTAAAAAAAAAAAAAAAGTTTTATTTTATCCAACCCACTTTTTATTTTACACTCTCCCAAAAAATAAAAATAAAAACAAAAWTTTTTTTATTTTGAAGATTTTAAGAAAGTGGGATGTTGTCATTTTCAGAGATTAAAATTGGGGAATGAATGGATAAAAAGCTGTCCCCATTACCACCGGACATGGAACCTGTTCCAAATTCCAACTACTTCCAATATTATTATTATTATTTCATTTTTTTTTATCTAATTTCAACTTTTAATTATTTTGGCTCATCTAAACGTCCACGGGTGAAGACAGATATCTCTCATAAAAAGTCATAAGTTCGAATCGTCACCTTCATATCTTTGTTGAATTCAAAAAGGAAAAAAAAATCTAATCATCTTAGTCTCTAAAATTTTAACACAAATTAGATACAAAACRAAAGTCATTTAATACAAATTTATACGGATGTCGTGCTGAAATTGTGATTGAAAAATATATATATATAAAAGCTAATATATATTTACTTTTTTAAACTATATAGATCAAAATAGATATTTCAAAGAGTATTTAAACTAAAATAGATAAAAGTTAAAGAAATAAAAAAAATATCCAATTTAACTTTCCGGAGACACGTGGCATAATGTTGGGCCGGCTGTTAAGAGCCCAGGCCCAACTTGTTTTTCCTTTTTACGGAAGTTTAGGCCCAATCGTGACGGCCCATTTATACGTTGCTCTAAAAAATTTTGTGCAATTATAGCCGTGATGAACTCCTATTTGTAAATTTGTTACATAAAAAAGATAAAAACTTTTAAATATGCGATATTTTCCACCCTCAATATCTYCTTAGGCTACTTGAAAGGTTAATTAAAGTGAAATAACAGTTGAGAGATTGTAAATATATTATTTACTATAAATTTTAATGACATAATTTTGAATATGTTCTTTATTAAAAGATAGAATCATATACAAAACCGACATAACTTAACGTAATTGGCATATATCTCCAGCTAACAAGTTGTAAGTTCGATCCCCACCCCACAAATTGTACTAAAAGAAAGATAGGATCGTATAGGAGGAGATATGTAACTATTTGAATGACTATAATAATCTTATACTTTTTTTTTGAGGTGAATCTAAGATTTTATGTCGGACGAGGTACAAACTCATGTAAATATAATCTTAGATACATTTATTACGAACATTTGATTAAAAAATATATTGAAAACTAAACTATAATCATGAGAAAATATCATTTTAGTCTTAGATTTTTACTAATGGGTCACTTTGGTCCCTAAATTTTTAGAATAGAGAGGGAGAAAGAATTATTATTTTTTTTTACTTTTTACTTTTAAATATCACATCATATTCATTTTTCAATTATGCTCGGTAGCACAACTAGTTAAAATAGATATCTCCAACCAGAAGGTCATGGGTTCAAATCTCCATCCCGACATGTTAGTATAATTAAAAAAAATGGGTTGAGCGACAATTTAAACCTATTTGTAAAATGATTTATTATTTTTTTAATGTAAAAAGTGAAAATAGATTTTTATTTTAAAAGTAACAAATATACTATCCATTGTAGCTCAAGCTTCAAATCTGAATGAATTAATAAGCTACAAAAAATAATAATAGAAAAATAACCACTTGTACAATTTTGCATTGACTTATTATGAACTTCCAAAAATTATTTTCTATTCTAAAAACTTTTCTCATGTGTGTCAAATATACCCACTATCAAAAGAACCATCTTCACTTTAGAGAGAGAGAAAAAAAAATCAAAGAATTAAGCATTTTAACTTTAAAATCTTATTTTAGTCCCCTACTTAATTTTGTTGATTTTACTTTTTATATTTTTATAACGTTTATTTTAGTCCATATATTTTTTAAAAGTAACTGGTTTTTTAACTAAAATTTCACTAACATATAATATAAAACGAGGGTTTCACTTAGAATTAAGAATCCTAATGTTCTTACATTATTATAGATCATAGGTGCATTGCCAAAAATCTCGTATTAGTTATTTATGAATCTCGAAGAATCAACAAGATCATTGTTGAATGATAAAATTTGACCAAGATTAAATGYCATGTCACAATTTTAAATTATATTTAAGACCAATCATAAAATTACACATGTCCTAATTAATTTAAATTGTGTCCTACATCAGTGGATGAAATAATGCCACGTGTCTCTCCTATGACCGTCCGATGAAATCAATTAATTTGACCAAAYCCATAAGGAGATTGGACTCAAGCACATGGCCCATATGTGACCCACCAAGTCTCTATAAATAATAGAGGGAGTCACATCTCATTCAGGGCATCCAGAGCGGAGACATTCATTCAGAGGATTGAGAAGAATTGCAGACTCAGAGTTTACCGATTGAAGAATTCTTCTCAAGACTTGAAGATCTCACAAGCGGCACTTCAAGCAAAGGAACTCTTCACAAGCCACAAGCCGAAGACTTCACAAGCCGCAAGCTGAAGACTTCGCTGATGTTTCACAGCCGAAAATTGTAAAGATTCTTCAATACACTCGAGACTGAAAGTGACAACCTCCTTGATTCGAGAACAAGTTCATTAACCCTCGAAGCGAGCTTACGTTAGAGAGAATTAATCAGAGGATCATACAGTAGAGTTGTAACACTTATACATAAATATAAAACAAGTTCATTAAAGTCRAGTTTCGTTCATCTGAATTTCTCGTCGAACAATCATCACTAAAAATCAAAAGATAGTTAGTTCAAATGACATGATACTTAAGGAAACTCTCTTGGAGGAGAGAGGTACGTTTATACACGATCAATATCTCTTACTATTAACTCAATTGATTTGTTCGGTCCTGGTATTAGAATATGTTGGACTTAGCACCACACCATTGTGCGGAATTATTGTGTGTGTAGATGTTCATTTTAAGCTTCTCGCATCACAATCAAGATCCATATCTTAGTATCGACATAGGACCGACATAGGTTAAAACTACAAAAAGTTTGGTCTTTTAGTTTTTAAAGTTGTGTCTAATAGATTTTTGACTTTCTATTTAATTGATCAATAATTTAATTATATAGATGCCTTAACCACTTAAGCTATGTTCGGTTTGACTAATTTTAMCGTGTTATTAATATTTAATATCAATAAAATTGTTAAATATTATAAAAATAAAATTAATTAATTCAATAATGTTTTATATTAATGATAGTTGTTCTACTCATTCGTTTGATTCCTGTTCCGATTCCAATTTTAATAAAACATTAAAGAAATAACACTCTCATTCTTATTGATTTTCGTTCCAACTAAAAATGACAAATAGGTTTTTAACATATTGATTTCGTGTTTAATAGGTCGAATTCGACATTTTTTTAATTTCACAAAATTATGAATTTTGTGTTGAATAGTATTATCACAACTTTAAAATTTGTCTAATAAATCTATAAATTAAAAAATTATACATAAATACAAATCAAAAGTTAAAGAAACGTTACAGATTGATTAACTCGTTAAACACCATTTAAAACTAAAGAAGCCAAAATTTAACCCAAAAAAAAAAAGAAAAGTCAAAAGAAAAAAATCCGTACATTTAACGTAACAGTAAGCCGAGCCGAGCCGAGCCGAGTAAACGCGAGAAGTTTTTTGTCAGTTAAAAACAAATATATCATTAAATAATTAAAAAGAAAAAGAAAGAAAAAAAGAAACAGAGAGAAAAATACAAAAAAATACAAATGCGAGAAGCGAACCGCCCTCTCCTCTCGCCTTCTCTAAGCTCTCTCTCTACTCCGTGTGTCGCTGTTCTTCCTCCCTCCTCCGGTTTCCCCATTCCGCATTGCTCCTTAATCACTGTAAGATTTCTCTTCTCCTTCTCCTCGCATTTCACCTCTCTGTTCTTGATTCTCCCCTCCAATGGCGCCAACTAGCTCTCCAATTTCCACCCACTTTCGCGCTTTTTCCCAATTTCCATGCACTCCCCTCTCAATTCCCCCCTTCCCCATTAATGGGGTTCGCGGGATTCCGCTTAAATGCTCTGATTCCGCCCCAACCACTTTGCCCCCTTCCGCGTTCCTCACTTGATGATTCTGATTTTCTGCATTTGTTTTTTGTTTGTTGATTCTTTTTCTGTGTTCTGGAAGAGGCGTGCTCTAGGGTTTCTTACTGTTTTGGCTCGTTGTCTGCTTGTTTTGAGTTGGGGATGAACTGGGCTGGAGGCCAGGAAGATGGGTTTTTTTTGGTTTTTGAAATATTTGGATTTGTGGGCTGCTTTTTTTTTCCTTTTGTTAGTGAATTGCATGGAGATTGCTTTCGCAATTGCTTTAGAACTGTTTCTTGCGGGATTTTCGTTTTTAGCTTCTAGCTTACATTTGGTTAGCTGCTCCCCACCTCTTCCCCCAATGCCCACACACTCAAATTTTGAGTTGGTTGGTGTTGTATTGTTCAATGCTCTCCTGGTTTAGCATTTTTTTTCACCCTATTCATAATGTTAACTTTTAGGGTTTCGGAATTTGCATGTGCATTCTCTGCCTTGTACCATTTGCCCACGTTTGGGGTGATCTTCCTTGTTTTGTTTTTCTCATCTTCTTATGTTTGATTGCTTAGACGAGAAGAATATAGAAGAAAATTCAAATTTTGAGCGTAAATTGCGTGTTTATTTTTGTTCTCAATGGAATTTTTCGTTCGCACTATGACTGGCTAAGGTTTAATTGGGTGCTTGATTTTCTCTTTATTATTCCTGCATCTTTAGATTTGGACAAGATTGCAAATTTCGTCAGTAACGTAGATTTTGGTGACCAATTAAAGTTGTTTGTGCTACAGGTAGAGAGCTTGTGACAAGTAGTTTAGCAGCCAAGTAATAGGCATGCCCCTGTTGAAAAGAAAGCCTTTTCCCTTAGCTGACCCACCCAAAGATTTGGAGCATCATGAGCTTGTGTATCAAGTTCGGTTCACGAAGGAGATATTCCGTGACTACAAGTATCCTATCATCATTTATTCTACTCAATATTTGTTGTTGGTGTTGGTTGTAATGTGGAATCTAGGAATATAAATTTCCTAAAATTCATACTGTTGTAGGAGTTACGAAATTTTAATTGTATGTATTCCTTAACATTTRTCAGTGAGTATCTGAGTAGGATAAATCTATACCGACGAAGAGTTTGGATGTGCAAATTCACTGGAAAAAGTAATTTGACATATGAGGAGGCGCTAGTGTCCGAAAAATGTGCAGCTGAGAAGGTTCAACAGTTTCCAAAGGATCTAATAGTCCCTGCTCTGAAGATTATCCAATACAGTGAGAACTAACTTGCTATATTTGGGAATTGTGAGCGTGCGTGTGTTTATTTGGTTAGACTCGATGGTACGATGTTTAAACATCTGTGAAATTAGCCTTAATGAGTTTTGCRTGTTCAAAGATTCAAGAGAAGGTAGCAATTCAGATGCTCAATTTATGCTGATCTTAACTAGATAAGCATGAATTGAGCATCTGATTGTTGTTTGAATCAATGTGCTCTTGTTCTTCATCCTCTTTTTCTTGTTCTCTCATTCTCTTATTCTTGCTCCATTTAATATTATCAATTAGATCTCAGTTTTAACCTGGTACAGGATCCTCTCCATATCTTTCCCTTTTTTT